TTGGGTTTACTTCAACACTAGTGCCCATGATCAAAATCCTTTAGGCCATCAGCAATTTTTCAATTACACACTGGGATTTTCCAGCTGAAATCTTGAGCTCCACGGAAATGAACCAAATCCCACGCCTCAGCTCTACATCATGGAAAGGGAAGAACGCTCTCATTATTTAATCAGAAAAAAATATGCAAGATGGAGGTATATTTCCACAACGTTCAAGATGATGAGGAAAATCCGAAATGAATCTTAAAAGTAGTATTTTGGCTTTCTGTTGAAGAGAGCAGTTTACGTTTAAATGAAATATCGAGGTTACTCTCTTCTGATTTAGGTTACTGATATTGAACAATCTGATACGACCTTGGCTAGCCTTCTATGCAGGAATATCGAAGCGGGACATTTAATTAATTAGCTGGGAGAGGCCTGGTGAAGGTGGACCAGACTGGATTCTGATGGTTCAAGTCGTGGCTCACCTGGGAAAGCTGCTGCTGGAGGTTTGTTACGGGATAGAAGTGGTCGTTAATTTCTTACATGGTTTTGCTGCCAGCCTGGGGATTTGATCTTCTCTTACTGCTAATGTATGGGCAGCCTATCATGCTGCAGCTCGCATTGAATTTCGGATGCCGAAAGTGGAGATTGAAGTGAATTCAACGATCTTGGCTGCTGCTATGTTGGGGAAAAGTGACAGCTTGATAAACGACCCTGTTTTTAAGGAATTATTCAGCAGCTGCTGCTTCGTCCTTGGCTGGTCCGTGTATTCTTCGTGAGGGAAATCGTTGTGCTGGTTGGCTTTGCTAATTTTGGCCATGATTTTTTGTTGTGTCGTCATCGGCTACATACTGTTCCCGAGGAACTAATTACTTGGGTGCTGTATGCAAACTTGATGGGAGGGGGTTATATAGATATAAAAACAACTATCTTGCCTAACCTAATGAGCTTTATACAATGGAACATCCTATAAAATAACTAACCTTATATCTAAAATTATGTTTAATAAAAATCTTACTCGTGTGCACAATATAATTTTGTAGTTTTTAAAATTTAGCCCCTTTATTAACCATAAAAATACTATTCTCGAACGAGAAGGTATTATCCTCATAATCATCTTTAACAATATTGGAAAAAAACAAGAAGGTATTATCCTCAGAAGGTATTATCCTCGTAATCATCTTTAACAATATTGGAAAAAAAAAACTATAATTCTTTATTCTACGATTGAAATGAGAGATCATTCTTGAATCAAGCATAATAATAAATAGACTTAATAGGTCGGACATGGTGATCTTATTACATCAATCATTACAGAAGATATTCACAATCAAATTTAACATCTGAAAAATAACATGAAACAAAGATTTCTGCTTAATGCTTTTATTCTATGGTGTGGGCAAGTTGGCGAGGAATGATCTTCGTGTACACGGCGAAGGCCACGCATGCAATAGCTGGTCCAACCCAAAACACCCAATGCCCATTCCAAAGATGACCTCCTCTTACAATCGCCGGACCCAAACACCTAGCTGGGTTCAGCCCTGCCCCTGCATAACCTTTCGTAGCAGTGACTGTGGTGGAAACAAACACGAGAAGGCCTAAGACTATTCCCACGATGATGAAAACACTAACTCGGCCTATGCCCTCGGCTTGGCGATGATCGAAGGCCATCCACACTGAGGCAAAAAGAAACACAAACCCACAAATTATCTCCAGCCAAAGGGCCTGGCTTGTCTCCAAGCCTATCACAGTCGGCCCATGTGGCCCTGGTGCAACAATTGTGAGGGTACAGCCTCCGAGTGAAAAGGTTTTTTCAATTTCGCTGTTTACCACAGCTTTCAGTGCTAGGGCACCAAAAATGGCACCAACGCACTGGGCCAATGTGTAGATAAAAGTTTTTGAGAGGGAAATAAGGCCAGTCAAGAATGCAGCGAAGGTGATGATAGGATTGATGTGGCCACCAGAAATGGGAAAGGTAGCTAGTAGGAGAATTGTGATAATGATGGCAACAAGGGTTGACAGTATAAGGTTGGGCATGTTTGTCCCTGTCTGAATAGTGGAAATCACTATGGTGTCCAAAGCAAAAACAAGAACAGCTGTTCCCAATAGCTCTGCTACTGATGCTCTCCATACCTGAGTAAACAAAAGATTTGCATGGTAAGGCGTTGCCCTAAAAATTCGACATGCTACTTCTGTATTTCTGATAACAATAATAATATTTAGATCTGCTGCACCAACTTATAATACAATTTCAATCCGCCTGAGCCCATAAATCCATGTAATAATTTATCACTTGCAAGATATATTTTGTTAAGCAGTATGCTATATAGTTACCGTCAAGGAGAGAAGGTCTTCTAAGCCCAATATTTCTCTCAATGTAATTTGCTTAGTCTTCCCTTCCTCGTTCTTAAGTGCCTCTGCCCTGCAGAATTATATGAAAAACAAAAGGCTTATTAGCTCCAGTGACTAGCAAAATCTCAGGACATTACAAACTGGAAGTGAGAGTAAAAAGAGAAAAGAGAAACAAATATGAAGATAGGCACTTGCATTGGCGTGGTGGCAAAAGGTTGGATTCTATTTCCACTGTAGAGGCTTTCTTCGTCCGGAGTAGCCCCTGCATATCCAGCCATCGTTCTCTTCTGTTTGCATGTCTCGTCTTTGAACTCTATAAATATATATAGCCAGAAACCAGATACTAATCAAGTGTTGCAAGCTGGCAGAATTAATAAATAATTTTTCCATCACTTGGGATATTGTTTTAATGGGAAAATATCTTACGTTTGAAACATGATTGATATTAAAAAATAAAGAAAAATGCTCCCAGTATTTTCACATCTAAGATCCATTAATTAATCAGGCTTCCAGATAAAACGAAATAAAAATAATTTTCCTTGAGCCATAGGCAACTCAATAGCATACCCTTTTTTTGACTTTGCTTTATCACATTAGTCCAACAGATGATGCAATACACCAATTATAAAACAAAATAGAGTGAAGGTGTTCATATTACAAGCTGGTTTGCCAAATAAATGAGGCATTGGCTTTTCCACAAGGGATGTTAAAAGCTTGGAGGGTTATAGTATAGGTTAAAATTTTATTAATATTTTTTTACTAGATTCATGCAAAAACAAGTTTGTAATTCTTGATTGAATTATTAAAAATATCTGAAAATTTACATGGAGCCTTCCAATATAATGCTTTAGCTTGGATTAAAATTTTAGAGTTTTTGAAGAAATTCAGAAATTTGATAAAAAAATCACAATTTAACTAGTTTTATGTTATCTAGCGTAATTTTCAATTCAACTATTAGATTGAGTTGAAATTTTACGAGGCATCTTAAAATATATTGAATAAAACCTGGTTAAAATTTTATGATGAATTAAGCTTGGTAGTGCTAACAAAAAAAAAAACATCAAATAAAAGCAAAACTACTCATTAAGGATAAAATAATTATTTTCTATTAAAAAATAAAACAAATCAACTCTTATTTTCTTTTATATGTTGCTGACTAGGCAGAAGCAGAATAGGAAAAGAAAAAAAAAGAAAAAAAAGCAAGAAAAAAAGAGAAAAAAAGTAGGAAAAGAAAAAAAAAAGCAAGAAAAAAAGAGAAAAAATTATAGGAAAAATCTAAAAAAATCCAAAGAAAATAAAAGTAAAAAAATAACCTTGTAAACATACAAAATCTAACTTATAAAATATTAATCTAAGAAAAAATCTAAAAAAATCCAAAGAAAAAAAAAGTAAAAAAATAACCTTGTAAACATATAAAATCTAACTTATAAAATATTAATCTAAAGAAGAATCAAATGAAGGAATGAGGAACTGAGAAAGAAAACAATTAATTATCTTGTTTTCTAGTTAATATAAGATTGTTATTTTATCCGGTTGAGGGGTTATACATAAGATTGTTATTTTATCCGGTTAAGGGGTTATTATAATATCAATTTAGATTCAATTATTGATGAATTATATTTCATAAAATATCAGAGGATATGATTTCAATAGTGAGTTTATTTTTATTTTTATTTTAAAATTTATTTTTTAATATTTTAGGTAGTGTATTTGAATTAAAACTTTACTATTAACTTTAAAAATTTATATTTAAAAATTAATAATTAATCTTAAAAAATATTTTTATAATTATTTAATATATCTGGGCAGGAAAAATTGCAAGGTTGCTTATCCACCGAATAATTCAAAAGGCAAGAAGAAACAGCTATAAGCCCATGCTTGCATTAAACGCACATGCATGTTATCAATAAGAATCACAGCTTGATCCTATCCCTTGAGTCCTGGGATCATAATCGTGTTTAATATAATTCTACTCCTATGCCAGTGCTACACTTTTCGTGCATGATTCTTCATTTTTATTATTTTAACCTTCATACGTTTTGGGAGGTCTTGTTGTGGGGAGTTGAGATTGAGATGCCCTTTGTAATTCCAGCACAAGCGATCATTCCTTGAAGCTCAATGTCTCAAGAATCCGATTTGAAACAATGCACTTGATGTTTATTGAGATGTGTGTGTTTCCTATCCTTCTCCTTGCGTATAATTATGATTCACATTTTAGATATAAGGTGAAAGTGAAATTTTCATCATGAATTTTATGTTTTTGATAAAAAAAATCAACTAAATAGAAAAATTAAGTTTTGATATATAAAAGTGAGTCCGTAAATATCAACAAGCTATAAAAAGAAAAAAAAAAAAGAAAAAGAGAGAGAAAGATGGAAGAGCCTGAGTAAAAAGGAAAAAAAAAAAAAGAGAGAGAAAGATGGAAGAGCCTGAACTTGATATATAATCGCATGGATCAAGATTGAATATTATCTAGTAGAAAGAAAAGTACTAAGGTAAAGGATGACAAACATTTCTTCTTTTCCTTGTAGCTGGTCGCCATGGTTTTGACAAACATTTCTTTTTTTCCTTGTAGCTGGTCGCCATGGTTTTGTAAAGGATGACAAATATTTTTTTTTTTTAGATTAACGTGGGTAAAAGTGAGTCCGTAAATATCAACAAGCTGTAAAAAGGAAAAAAAAAAAAAGAGAGAGAAAGATGGAAGAGCCTGAACTTGATATATAATCGCATGGATCAAGATTGAATATTATCTAGTAGAAAGAAAAGTACTAAGGTAAAGGATGACAAACATTTCTTCTTTTCCTTGTAGCTGGTCGCCATGGTTTTCAGGACCAGGACGTCAGCCTCGACGCTTTCTTCTAATGTTTTTATTAAGAAAACCAATATTCCAACAAGAACCCTATCTGTAAAACATCAAGTTCGTCATCTCCCCTCATCATGACGTCGACGTCCCTGTAGGCAAGGTCAGAGTGAATCCATAATAAACAATACAAGCAACAAAAGGTCCCACCCAGAATACCCAATGGCCATACCATAATCGGCCTCCTTTCAGTAATAATGGCCCTAAGCACCTTGCAGGGTTCAAGCCCACACCAGCATATCCAGCTCTTCCCGTTACAGAAATGGACACAAAAAATGCAAGTGCCATTGCCCCTGCCAGTATACCACATACCATTTGTAAGCCTATCTCCTGGCATCTTCTCTTGTCAAATGCCACGGTTACACCAACAAATAGCACAATAAATGTGCATGAGAATTCTAGTATAAATGCATTTGTAGGGCTTATCCCTTCCCCATTTCCATCGATCATGCACCCGCCCAGGGAATATTTTTCTTCTGCATTTTTGTCGATTACACTCTTGATTACAAGATAAGCCACGATTGAGCCTACACATTGTGCTGACACATAAAACAAGGCACGGACAGGAGTTATAACACCTTCAAGGGCAGCGATAAATGTGAACACAGGGCTCATGTAACCCCCTGATAAAGGGACCGTGGTCAACAGGAAGAAGAAGGCAATAACGAAGATTGCAAATGGGATTAGAAACTTGGGCTCGGCAGTGGTTGATTCCAAGCATGAGATTATGGAAGTGGTTAATGTGAATAACAGGCAAGCTGTTGCTACTAGCTCAGTTAGGGTTGCCCTCCACATCTGGAAAAATGAAGGCACACGATAACAGTTGCAAATCAATAATCCTATTTGTGCTAGAAAATTATAAAGAATACTAGTAGTCACTGATATAACACTACACTGATAAATCAAGCTGACCTCCGATGAAAAGATTTCGTGGGCACCAATGGAATTCAGTACTTTTATCATTATGGATTTTTTTTCTTTGAAGTCTGTTGCTTCGCAACCCTCGAGCGATTTTGATAATTCTTGATTACCATCATCTTGGTGGTGGTGGTGGATGACCACGTCCATTTGGACTTCAAATCCAGGGGAAAGTATAAAAGCTCCCTACGTGTATATATAAAGAACTAGGTTGCCAGGAATATATGCAGAATAATTCGTTAAAAAATAGGATAAAATGGACAAAATCAAGAGGAGGAGGGCTATTGTCTTTGCCATCGGTGGTGGGTTAAGTGACTTGATCTATCGGCCGGCCATGTCCAGAGTGAAAAGTCCGAGGACAAAAAATCCTCTTGATACAAACAAAATTCATTATAGTTTCATTAAAAATCCTCTTCTACATTAAAATCCTCAGGCTTTGATACAAACAAAAAATGTTGTGGTTAAATTATGAGCTAAGGTGATAGGATATCCATTATGAAAAACTAAGGATTCTTTTGGATAATGATTAGATATGTCTTGCATACAGCCAGATCTCTAATGAGAGGCAAGGTTGCTCTGATGCCTTTACTACCTGTTGCCATTGCTGAAATATAGTTTCATCACAGGATATAAAATTCAGGATCAGCTGGTCCTTTCAATAGTGTGCAAAAATCTGCATCCTCTTTGATTTCGTTTGAACTATATATTAATTTCTTGCTAGGTTTAGCCAATTAACAGTTTTTTCAGTTCAAATTGAAACTCGTTGTCCTTAGTAACTACATACATCAATGTGAAAAGATTGATATTATAGGATAGGTTTTTTTGGAATGAATACTACTATAGAGGGAATATACTCTGAAAATACTAAATATTATTACATTCATTAAGAATAATTAATATATAAATATAGTTGCATGACCGTTCTTAAAATTAAACATGCGGTTATGATCTTAACATCTCTGAAATTAAAATACTAAATTAATATCAATACATTCATTAAGAACAACTAATATGTAGATATAGTGGCATGATCTAATCTTAAGATCAAACATGTTCATACTTTTAAAGTGTGTTTGAGAGTGTTTTTATTTATACTTTTAGGTATTTATATTTTTAACTTGAAAAATATTAAATTAATTTTATTTTTTTATTTACAATAATTTTAATGTGATTATATTAAAAAAAATTAAAACAAATTATTTTCATATAAGAGTTAGTAATAAAAACATCGTTCACACACCCTAACCCCCCTAACTACAGAACATTGTGCCCATGAAACGGCAAGGGACGTATTATTACATTGAAAGAAACGACAACATGATGCACCGTATAAAAGCCTCTCTATTTTGATTCTGCTCCAAGGAGGTGTTCCCGTGGAATAATCTTGGTGTAGAGTGAAAACGCCACGCTGGCAACTACAGGCCCAACCCAAAATACCCAATGCCCCTTCCACAGATGACCGCCTCTAACGAGTGCTGGACCTAAACATCTAGCTGGGTTCATCCCAACTCCGGCATAGCCTTTGGTTGCGGTCACCGTTGTCGAGATGAACACGAGGAGGCCCACTACCAGCCCAATTATTGAGCAAAAAACAACTCGGCCCAGGGCTATGGCTTGCCGCCTGTCAAATGCGATCCATATCGAAGAAAATAGAAAGACAAATGTACAAATTATCTCCAGCCAAAGGGCCTGGCCCGTCTCGAGCCCTATAGCAACAGGCCCACTTGGTCCTGGTGCGATAATTTTTAGAGTGCAGCCTCCAAGTGAAAATGTTTGCTCTATGGTGCTTTTAACCACAGCTTTTAGAGCTAGTGCACCTAGTATGGCTCCAATGCATTGAGCCAAGATGTATATGGCGGCGCGTGAAGCAGTAATAAGGCCTGTAAACATAGCCGATAAAGTGATGGCTGGGTTCATGTGGCCGCCGGAAATGGGAAACGTGGCTAGGAGGAGAATTGCAATTGTTATGGCTATTAAGGTTGCCATTATAAGGTTTGGTGTTTTGGTTTGGGTCTCGTAGGAGGAAATTACGATAGTGTCCATTGCAAAGACCAGGACTGCTGTGCCAAAAACCTCCGCCAAGGATGCTCTCCACACCTGATAACACCAATTTTGTATGTTAGTTGCTGCCTCTGATTAAATGGTAAGGTTCCGAGGACCCAGATAATTTAATTTAAAGATATAAGAAGCAGCAGCTAAGCTAACATAACACTGGAAGAATTTCAAGCAAACCCAGATAATCTTGGGCTAGCCATCTTACTACCGTGAACCCCAGCTAACCCACCATGTTTACTGGAGTAGTTCGCTCAGGGCCGAAGGCTGAATTGAGGCATTGGAAATTAGATTATTCTATCGGGTTATGTAACCTAAAAAGCTTTGTGAAGCTTGACCAGGGAAATTATTCAGATGCAAAGGTAAACTGCACAAGCTTGAAGGTACTAACATTCAAAGAAACAAGTTCATCCAAGCCCAGAATCCTGCTCAATGCAGAGGAATCTCGCTTCCCTCTCTCAGTTTTTGACGGCCTGAAAGTGAAATGATTTATCTTCTAGTTAACAAGAAACCCAACCCTCAAAAAACTAATAGTTAAGGTTAAGATTAAGAAGCAAACCAGAAATTTAAGACATTCTGACTCTTACCTTGGCGTAGAGGCAAAAGGTTGGACCTTGTTCCCTCCATAACCAATTTCTTCATCCTGAACAGCTCCTGCGTTTCCTGCCATATTTTTACTAACTTTCTCGCATCATATCTTTGTAACAACACATACACAAAATATATAACCAAGATTAAACTGTACGAAATGGTGGTTGGATAATAATATCTGTATATGTCTATCACTTTTTCTCTCAACTACTCCTTTTCCCCCCTTCAACAGCATTATCGGCTACAATGAAACTTCACATTTATTACACATAGATATCTCTGGATAGCCTTATGGCCCTTATCACATGCCTTTCCAATAATCCATGAACCAAAAATACAAATCAAGTTGCAAATTGGAGTAACTGTGGTACCAGAGGTCAACAACATGTAGGGATAATCCTTGCACTGTTACGCTGAGCACATTAAAGCTATGCCGTTGGCTTTAATGTTATTGTAGAGAATGTGAATGAGCAGGTCTAGAAAAGTCAGAGAATATGTCCTCTTGTTCGAAAGAAGAAAACAGGATAAATCATATTCATAGACCAGAAACCAACCTTTTCTGCCTTTGGCACTGTGAAAATTCCCTGGTCATGACTGTTATATGATGGTACTGGTATTTGTAGTCTTGATACGTATGTACATAAACTAAGTAGTTGCTCCCGATTCAATTGCCTGATAAGTTTGGAAAGCGAAATTAATTAAGTGGCAGTCCCTCGCCTAACCCTCAAAGTCAAGTAATCTTGTTTTTTGTGAAAGTCAATCAGTATCTAACAACTAATCAAGTTATTAATTCTTCAAGCGAAAATATTGGTTACATATATAAGAGTTGAAGTTCTAGGACTGTAGTAGCTAGTAAGTAAACAGAATAGGGAAGCGGTGGAAGTGAATGAATATATAAGTAGATAAGTAAGTGTCCATGCACCGTTTCCTGCGACGTGCGCCATTCTGAATTGGGGTAATTTGTATCTTTCTAACGGTGAGAAGGGTGCGCAGAAAAAAACCTCAAACCAGACCCTGTTCTGTCATCCTTACGTTGGTATGTCCTAGCATAAAAGTCCAGCGCGAGCAACTCTGTATCTGACAATTCAGCTCCTCCAGAATATCTTGAATCACTACGTCATAGTGTTTGCTCATTTTTCTCTTAAATCAGCATTAATGCCTGGCAAGATAGTTTTGAATTTTTAAATTCTCGAAACAATTACTGGCTGGCTGGCTCTACGAATTCATTTTAGTCATAAACTATGTTTCTGGTTTGAGAAATTCTCATTGTACAGTAGTCATGTTTTTCAGATAGAGTAAGAGTGCCAAATACTGAGCAATTCATAATATTTGCAAGATACCTTTTTATGTTTCACTAATATTGCTTCCATCAGTGCTTATAGATAATCCTGAAGAATATGATCTAAGGAACCATTTGAAGTTACAGAATCATGGAACAATGAACTGCTGTTAATTTCAGGTTGTCCACACATCGTTCTTTTAGGTTATGTCCTCATATATGGGTCATCAAGTGCAGAATAAATGTCGACCTAAAAGAGGAGATTAAGATAATAGGAGTACTAAATAAACAAGAATGTCTCTCTGATCCCCCAATGATCGCGATGAACACTAGTACAAAATGGAACGAGAAGGGTTTTATGAGCCGAACAGTGCTTGCTTGGGCGTCTTAATTGCAATTTCTCCATCTATTATATGACAATCAGTATCTTCCAAAAGTTAACGAAGAATCTTCAAATTTGTCATCCTCCATGGACTTTTGCCAGTTTAGATTAGAATATGCATGCTCGATTGATATTTCCAATGATTGTTATTTAATGCTATCCATGTTGTTGTGAGTACTGACTACACTTATGATGGCACCAGATGGAAATTTCCCTGTTGATGTAGTTCCTGAAGGCCCTTTTTTTTTTTATCTCATGCATTTAACTATAAAAACCTTTATATCTTTCCCTATCTTGGCAACCTTTAAAGCATCTGAATCCATTGATCTGCAAACAAAGATAAAAATAATTCTTTCTTGCGTACGGTCGTCTGCGTTGATGTTAATATAATTCCTTTCTACCTGCAATTTATCAGGCATGAAACTTTTCCTTGCTTTGCTTCATTAAAAGCTAACAGATTCTTGTTAAATTATTCCGACTTCTGTTCTGATTGCTATCCAAATGGATACATTACAGTTACTTTCGATATCCTTTATCAGAGAAGTGATGGATAAGTGGTCAGTATGTTTATCCATAACTTGTTTTGTTTCAATAATTCCACCACACCATGTACAACATATAAATGGATAATTTGTCTGGCATTCTTGAGATAGGAATTTGTACAGATGATCTGTGTGTCACAAACAAGGATTAAAAGCTGAGAACAAAGAGTTTGGGAAAATGTAAAAAGCTAAAGATTGAAAAAAATGCCGAGGATCGCCATAATTGTATCGTATGGTATCATCAAAATTTCACTAGTGAAAGCCTGAAAGGGGAAGAAGTAGATAAAGACAACCTGACTTGACCTCATGATAGTTTGTAGAAAGCTTTGCTCGAAATAGAACACAGAACGGAGAAAGTGGATACTTGTAGATGAACCTAATTAGTTTGAAATTGAGACATGTTAGTTAAATTGAGCGTTTTTATTTAATTAACTTTTTTTTCTTTATTTCCAGCACTTTGTATGGTCAAGTTGTTTAAACCCCATACATGTCTTTAAAGTCTTCCAGTCAATATATGTCTGTCTTGGTCAGAATGCCAAGTTTAAGAAAGTTTCCTGAACCTCTCTTCTTTTTTTTCTAAGATAAAATATGCAATGGAGAAGAGTCTTGATTTTACTAGATGATAAGACTTGCAGGCAAGAGCAACTATCCAAAATTACTGTAAGTATCCCCATGTTGATAAACCACTAGCTGATAAAATTTGCACGCAAGAGTTAACTATCATTATCGTCATGTTGATAAACCACTAGCTGATAAAATTTGCAGGCAAGAGTTACTATCCAAAATTACTATCATTATCGTCATGTTGATAAACCAGGTTGGAATATAGGGTGGTCATGGACTAACAAGGAGATCATCTGGTAAATGTTTGGAGCTTTCGCCACCAAGTAAGGCAACTGCTTATCCGTTGAGTACCAAGGCGCTCACTCTTGCATGCCATCCTCTGTCACTGCCGATCTCATACCAGACTCCCCATCGGTGAGAATGTCTGAGAATTGCTGCCATGTTGGCCTTCTTTCTCTACCTGAGCCATTGATCCTCTGAGGTCATACTGCTCCTTTGAAATGACAGTATTCAACTTGAATGGGAATTCTACTGTCTATCGACCTGCAAACCTTACATTATTGGCACCAGGTCCTGGTTACAGCTGTGGCCTGGTTGTAGAGACTAAACCCAGTCTATTCAGATATTGAGGGTAGAAGCGAGTTCAGGTTTACAGTAAGTACTCCATCCAAAATTTAGCCTGGTTTAACATGACACTTTAATGGCTGACATTTTGTTGACGTAGACCCATTACAATGTTCCCATTTCTAAATTGCTTCTGCTCCATACATTTCCACCAAGGTAAATTAAATGTTAGACTTAAAGATGGCTCTGTAGTTATTGATAGCTATATGTCAGCAGATACACAGAAATCAGTATTATGGAATTGCCTTATAACGATCTAATTTTGTCTTTGGTTTTCAAATATGCTATGCTTGAGAGGATTCCGTTTTTTTTTTCCTAGAATGATGTGTTTGCCCTCATTTTTACTGTCACTAATTTCGCAACTTTGTTGTTTTCAGAAACATGGAAATCAACATGCACTTACCCCACTTTCTTGGCCAACAAAACACCCTGGTTGTTGTGTTTCGCTTTTCTCTATAATCCTAAAATCACAGTTTGTCCTGATTGCAGTTGTGGATGCAGAGATGCAGACTGAAGTACTGTTCCATATGTAAGGTACTTATCTGTAATTGCCTAAATTTTATCATGCAAGCAAGTAGTTCAACCCATTTTAGGAGTTTCCTAGTTATCCGTTATCATAAGAAGACAGTTTGCCAGATTGGTTACAAGTCATCGCTCTTTATGGAATAGCAGTGAAGTTGATTCCTTGCCACTATCAAACTTGGAAAACGCAGACATAGTGCAATGCACTAATGCACTAATCAAATGTGCCCCGTCATAGTTCATTGGATGTGAAGAACAATTATATTGATCATTGGAGAGTGAAAATGACAATTTCTAACCACAACAATAAGAGAAATTACTCAGACTGGAATGTGCTGGTACAGCATCCTGGTTTCAGGCAGAAATCAACTTAATTACCTTCAACAGCAGATTGCTCCCTACTGTCGGGTTTGCAGGTACTTAATGTCATTACATAGTACTTTCTTTCTTTTTTCTTAAGTAAAGAATTAAACGTGAAAATTAGCATCACAAGGAACCATGAAAATCATCCAGAATAGATTTTGAATGGAAATGCAATATAGCTATGTTGGGACATTTAAACATTTAAACATATAAATTTAGATGGTTCGATAATTTATTTATTTTACAGAGTTATTGGTTTGTATTAATCACTTAATACAAATAAAAAAAGAAATTTTTTTTTCTTAACTTAACCCTATTCTCAAGCTCTTTACTACTTTTACTCTCTTGATTTTTTATTCTATTTTTTATTTACACACGGACGCAACTTTTCACTGAACATATGTATATATATATACACACACTAATGGAAAGAAAGGACATAAATCATGCTATAATTTCCATTTGTATTTTCTATAATGTGCAAAATGAAAAGTTAAATATTCTTATTTACATATGATGGAACATTGTTTTGTCTCCATTAAGAAGCGAAGCTGCACTCTTTTTGGTTGAAGCCTCGAAACGGAAACTCCCATAGGGCTGATATAGGCCTGGAAATAAACTCAGAAAACGATGGATTTGTTGTCCTGCAATTATCGCAGCCACGCAAACATTGGAAATTAACTATGGTTTCTTGGACTACCCTGTAGTTCAAGGGTGGTTGAATAATTGAGATATGGGATTAACTTAATTATTTTACATTGACCGGACGAATAATGCACTCTTGATACTTCTCCGATCCCTTGTTACTCTCTTCCAACAGTAGCAACAGCAGTGATAGGCAACACCAACCCCATCTCCTCTCTCCTTTTCTTAACAAACAAAAAGGCCACAAAAACTCCACTTTGATTTTGAGGTTGTTTCTCATAAAGCCATGGACTTGTTCCTCCAACTTGACTCCATTAAGGTATATCATCAATGGGTCTCTTTGAAATTTTGTTGTAATATTCTTTATGAGATTATTATTTGTAGTTTTTGTTAGTAGGGTGATATGCTTCTGTGATCGGAGATAGAAAAGCGTCATTTACGAGGGAATAGGCAAGGTTTTTGGAGTTTATTGATGAATTTGCAGTTAAAAGGCATGAAACAAAGAGAAACAAAGATGTTTCGGTGAGAATGATGTACGTGTACTTAACAAAATAAGGATGGTGCAAAATTTTGAGAAGAAAAGTGCAGAGTCGGCTGCGGTGATGATGGAAGACAAGGCAACAAATGGTAATCATACTTGTCATTTTGCAACACAACGCACCGAATGTATCGTCAACATTGAATATCTAATCAAATTACCTGACAGACCAGTGGTTCCTTAATTCATCTTCTCTCTGTTCATCTCAATTATACGTACAAGGTGTCAAATCTAGTTACGACAAGCATACAACTTCGAATATCTTGTCGGGGTAAGATAAGGGAAACATACATTTAATTCTGCAGACTGAACTTTCTCCCCCCCTGTTCGCTCCACCTAACAGCTTTTTGAAAAGATCAGCATTTAAGCTTCATACAGGTCGCAAATAGCTATTGAATTTTCAATTGTGATCATCAGTCCTCCACGGAACTCTATGTTCATATAGTTTTAGTCGCAAATTACGTAGTGTGCTTGTGCAGACAAACTACGTCCGCGGATAACGGCTGCACGCAAACTAGCCGAATCAAAACAAAAATCGTGCTGTTTGATTTAACTTATCCGTTCAGCCACGTCGTATACGCACAAAATAAACATGATACTTGTGATAAGATTTTCGAATGAGAATTTTCATGACCACCTAAGCCACTACATAATATCTTTGCATATGTTTTACTTGATTTCATCTATGCTTATGTTAGATTATAAGTTTGTGTAGATTCATATGTTGAAAACTCCTTTGATTTTCATGAACTAGGTGCATGAGGATCAAATCATTCACAATATATATATATATATATATATATATATATGCGAGCGCGCAAACACGCACCCTTACATGAAATCTTTATATGAATTAGATTTTCATGAGCCAAATCACTTTGATTACCAGTTTGGTCCAAAAAGATGGGATTCTAAGTACTGTAATAATCCAACTTTGTGATAATCAAATCGAGGTGGATTCATGCAATAATTTGAGCACTGATAATCTATCAAATCATCAAAGAATGACGTTATTTTTTTTTTATTACTATGATAATAATTGTTTTTTCATATTAATTTTTTATTTAAAAATATATTAATATAATTTTTTTAAAAAATAAATTTTATTTTTTAACATCAATACATTAAAACAATTTTTTTAAAAAAATTAAAAGCATAATTTTCATTAAATAGAAATCTCCTTTTCTTTCCTTTTCGTTTTTTCAAGACAAACTTGAACTGCTGTTTCTTTTCGCTGGAGGCTGGAGCATGCCCCCTGTTTGATTGTTGTATAGCTGCTGTCAGCCTGTCACTGATGTTTCACGGAAGGGGGGGTGAAGGGCACCTTGGTCTTTTCGTTGTTTAAAAGTGTAGTCGTTTTAAGTTTTAGGTCTTTTTTTAAAATATATTTGCTTTAAGAAAACTTCAAATTACTAATTTTAATATATTAGTGTTTAAGATTAAAAAAATAAAAAAAATATTTAGACATAAAAAATAAAAATAAAAAACACTTTACCACACTACAAAACGGTCACAAGACTCTAAGAGCTACCCAGCTCAGGTTTGTCTACTTGATGTGAAACCTGCAAGTAAATTATTATTTAATCTCTAGATTTTAAATTTAATTACATTTTAGTCCCTCGTGCTTAAAGCTTATTACTCACTCCTTTGACTCTTGTTGACTGAGGACATATTAAAGAAATTTGTTGGCTTTTTTTCTTAATTTCAAATTTAGCCTGTGAGAATTTTATTTCTTAGGAAAATCCAAAATATTGCGAGCTTAGGGAAAAATCAAAAGGTTTTAACAAGACATTAGTCAACAGGAGTTAATGGACTCAGTTAAAGCTTACGAAACACAAACGACTAAGTTGTAATCAGACTAAAAGAACAGGGACAAAGGAATATTTTACTAGGTATGCAGCCAATTAGGTTGACTGAAACACACCTGCCCAGACTGTGGTCCATGTCCATTCTATCTAACATTATTATTGGCTGGCTGAGTTACATCTCTGTATTTTATTTTATTTTTTTGAATTTTTTTATATAACTTGATTAAAAATTTTAATTGACTTTTTTCAAAACTACGTGAAAGCTCAATTATTATTTTTTTAAATTCCAAAATATTATTATTTTAACCTTTAAAAAAATGAATTGCCTGTCTAATTAAAAGAAATAGTACAAGAAAACACGAGCGTGCGTGACCTGAGGTAGTTAGCAATGAACCATGGCTCGTCGTGATGATGCCTGGAATGGTGCACAAGACCATGCCTGAACTTTTGCCTAAAAGCAAGGCAATGATGAATGAGGGCACATGCTCGCGTGGACTTCCCCATTGATAATGATAATTAATTAATTGCCTTGTGCTGATAAAATCGAACGTGGTCTGATAAAAAAAATAAAAATACTTCTGATAAAAAAATTAATTTCCGGATAAAAATGCACGAGAGATTTGTATGGCTGCGGTTGGGGTTTCTTTTGGTTGCTTACAGTGCTCTTGAACATAATTTATTTTTTATAATTTAAAATTTAAAATTATTATTATTTATATTATTTTAATATATTAATTTTAAAAATAATTTTTTTAAAGATATTATTTTAATATTTTTTAAATAAAAATGCTTTACAAATAGTCTTTTAAAAATTAATTTTAATGTATTTTTCATTTAAAAATATATTAAAATAATATTTTATTTTATTTTTAAAATTTATTTTTAATATTATAATGTTAATATAAAATAAATAATTTTTTTTTCAAAAATGCAATTATACGTCACCGCCACGAAGTACCTAAGACATACTCTCGCTGTTTCTGTGTAAGTTTGTTTGTTCGATTATCCTATAAAACAACCACTGAATAAATAACACATCTGTCATCACTTTCTCTTACATACCCGTAATACGATCCCTTTTGTTTTCATCTTCATTTCTCACATAGACACCTACCAATCACACAGCTATGGCTCCTCATGGCGAGGGATCGGAGGAAGCCATGGTTGTTCAAGATGAGAATCGCAAACCCATCTCTTCCATCCTTATCGTTATCGGTACTTTGCTCTCTTTCTCTGTCTCGTATTTATCTGTCTGGGTTTCATTTCATTCCCTTGTTTATTTGTTTTTGTGTGTGTAATAGCTATGCAAACAGAAGCCATGCCTATTGTTAACAAGTTTCAGCTCAAAGAGGACCTTGATTCTGTGTGAGTTGATATTCTGTTCTTCTGTTTGTTTATGTTGTAAATGGATTTGATTGTGGGTTGCTGTGATTGATCGTAAAGATGGTTCTATTCATTTCAATGTGTGACAAAGTTGCAATCTTTTTTCATGAAATAGCTAAAAGATCGTTTTTTTATGTTGTTTTATTGTTCAAGTTCCATTTTTTTTTTAAGTTTGACTCTTTGTTAAAAGAATCAAGTACAATCAGTAACGGTGGTATATGATGGATTACCAGATCAAGGAGTATTTTTGTTGAATTTCAATTAGTAAAATACTGAAAGTTTTGTCCCTTTTCCTTTTGCTGAGTGATATGGGTAATTCGTTTTTTATTTTTCTAAATGAGGTTTGATTCTCTTTAATCTACAGTAAATAACCTTTTCTTTTTCAAATTCTGCGGGGTCATTATTTCTTGCTAGAAGGTTTTTATTTTAAGCTTGAACTTACAAGTTTGCTTTCGGAACTTTATTTACTGGAGAAAGATGGATACTGGAAATGACTATTTTTTCATTGTTTGTATGTTGTTACCCCTTACTTCGTGTTTATTCTGATAAAACTGATATCATGGAGATTTATAGGGTATTCAAGTTTGTGAAAATGTGACTTGCTTTTGTTTTCTATTTGATACCATATATTATGTGTTGCTTGGTTGGGGCGGAGTCTTATACGCCAAAGAATGATGATGATTCAGGTTTCCAAAAGGGGTGCCTTGGGTTAGATATCATGGCGTTTACAAAGATCTCCATATTGACTTAGTATGGCCTGGAAAGGATTCAACTCTGGGTAACTTATTTAGCTCTTGGGGGTTGTTCTTTTTTATTTTCTAATTGTGTTTAAAGCATCAACTATGCCTTAGTTGCACGACCACGATACTGGGATAACATGTTTATCAAATATTCATGTTTTGAAAGTTTATATTCAGGCTGTTATGTACTGAATTCCTTAAAACTATAAACTTCCACCTCCATCAAATTCACACATTCCAAGACACACAGTACTAAATCTTGTATTCACCTGTTCTGGACATGGATATGGGATATGGATTCTATCTAGGTTCCTATTGTCATACAATAACTAATGGGGTGTCAAGGAACAAATGTTCTTTTATCTGTAGCTTCCTATAGCATAATCATTCAAGCATGCCTTTTCAGGGGTTGATAGTGTGGGCACAATTTCTGCATCTCTTGTGACCTATGCCGCTATCCAAGCATTACAGCCAGACTTAATTATTAATGCAGGCACTGCTGGTAGTTTTAAGGTATGCTCTTCCCCTATGTTGTATGAACTACAGATTTAATTATTTCCAAAATGTTACTGGTCTTCTGGTATTCCATTTTTCATTTGATATTTCACTGTTAAGATTATTTTTTTCTTCCACATAAGCAAGGTTCATTCTTGTTTTCTTTTTTTTTTATACTGTGCTTTCGATATAACACACCAGCTGTCTGTTTTGGATCTGCGAATGCTATTATTTGCTAGTATTGAAAAGAGTTCACCCTCCTTTTATAAAAGCAGTAAAATACTGACTGCCATTCAAAATATTCATGTGAAACAAAATAATGCATTTTCTTTTAAATTTCTACCAAAAGCTGATTGATGGAAGCTTCCAGGTCAAAGGAGCATCCATCAGTGATGTGTTTCTTGCATCTGACGTTGCTTTCCATGACAGAAGAATCCCTATTCCTGTAAGTGTTCCTTGCGTTTTCCAAAAAAATTTTTCTTGCAACTGTCAATGAGGCAAAGGAACCTAAATTTTTGGATTCTGATGGCCAAAACCTAAATTTGAAGGCCATTAACAAAACCTATTGTTCATTTTATTCATAATATCCTGTGATCAAAATAAACTACTTATCTCATTAGTGAAACCTGCAATCTGGACATAAAGTTGTGTAGATGCTACAGGTTGCTGGAAGTCCTCATGAGCTTTGGCACTCCAAGTGAAAAAAACTCAAAACAAAACTATGAAAGCACATACAAACTCCTAGCAGATGGCTAGGTTGGGTGTGTGGTTTTTAATTCTGCTTCATAAATGATGATTTTCCTTTTTCTGTACTGTATTTTTCAGTATCACTACTGTGCCTAAGCCTTTTCTGCCTCTTTTTTTCTTTTTTTTTCTGGTAGGTTTTTGATCTCTATGGAGTTGGCTCAAGGCAGTCTTTCTCAACACCTAATCTCTTGAAGGAGCTTAACCTAAAGGTGATTTTTATTGAACATTTCCATCCCTTATCTCTGTGCTGGATGCTTTCTTTTTGCATTAGTTTTCAGCTAGTTAATGCTTTGAGGCTCTTACCATTTATGAGATTGGGTCCAAATAATTCTAAAGGTTCCCAATAAATATATAGTCTATTTCTTATGGCACTATAGTCTTGTTTTTCTGAAGAAAGAAACCATGCTTTTTTGGGATTTGACTGGTGAACTTTACAAAATTAGGATCTTAACCTTTTGAACATGGTTAATGATCCAATATCACATCATCAATAAACTCTAGGAAGTAGTGTGTAGTTTTATTTATGTACCTGCTTATTGCATACTCTGCCAATGATGATGCAGTGCTAGTTAACTGATGGCAGTGAATGGTTGAAATTCTGTTTGACAGGCATATATCAATAAACTATGCTGAATATTTGCCTACTGCATGATATGGAAACTTTCTGCATTGTTTCATCTGGACGCCTCCAATGACCTTCAAAAATTTTAATACACTATGTTGATGTTTCAGGCTGGGAAATTATCTACTGGAGACTCTCTGGATATGTCCCCACAAGAAGAAGCATCAATTGTTGCAAATGATGCTACAGTTAAGGACATGGAGGTAAAGTTGAATTCTTTCCTGATAACATGGGGATAACATGGGGGCTGAAACATCCCCATCCCGATGAACTGAGTTATGGACTATGAGATTTTTTTTTATTAATTGCTTGGTGCATATTTAAGACTTAACCTTCAATGTTCAGGTTCTGTTGATATTACTGAACATGTCATTTGCCTTTCCTTTTCTTTTCCCTTTTTTTTTTTTGTCTGAGGACAGAAGAAATGGGACTGAAAATGTAGATCCTTCCTGTATTGCTACATGCTAGATGTTTGTCTGCAGGAGCTTCCTATGCTATGATTCTTGTTAAAATTGGAATGCCTGCCTTGCAAATGGACTCTTTTATCTAATAATCTAGTTAGACAGATACAAGGTCTTGGAAATGCTCGTTGCCATTGCCTTTCATTCTCCAATTAGTCATAAAACATGCACAAGTACCTGACACCATTTCCATTTAGCAAATGGAGTTTAACCAGATGATGGGAGTTTTAGTGTACAAAAATGCATGACTTACAGGATACATTGAATGCAATTTCCTTCGATAAGTTCTGATGAATCTTCAACAGCAGTGTACGATATACAGCCATACATCATCATATCTTGAACACCTTTATGCATATTAAACTTGAATTTCATTTGTTCTGGAGTAATGTACACTGGGATTTTGCTGTATTGCTCCAAAATGGCAATTTTGGGTTTTCTCTGGAACTAGGAATTTCTTGCAATTAGCTTAGCTTATCATCCTTTTTAGTGCAGCTCACAACCTTTCTCGCTTTATATGATAGGGAGAATGACACATTAACTGAAAATACCTTTCTCATTCCTAAATTTTATATGTTTCTTGGGCTCCTGAATAAGTATTTGATATATTTGGCTTCAGGGAGCTGCTGTTGCTTATGTGGCTGATCTTTTGAAAGTCCCTGCAATATTCATAAAAGCTGTGACTGACATAGTGGATGGTGAAAAGCCAACTGCAGAGGAGTTCTTGCAGAATCTAGCTGCAGTGACTGCTGCACTTGACCAGGCAGTCACCCAAGTAGTTGATTTCATTAATGGAAAGTGTCTCTCTGAACTTTGATATGATGTGACCTTCACTGCCTGATTCTTTTGAAGATACATGTGAGGAAGTGTCAGATGAACCATTGTTCTATGAGATATACAAAATAGGTTTGAAATATGATATTCAGCTTAAAGTCGCCATAGTTCATAGTTTGAGTAGGACCAATGCTCTTAGGTCTGGTGATTTGGTTTCTGTTTCCCACACTCGACCAAGGTTCAAGCATTGGTTCCAACATGGTATGAGTAGGTATATACCGTTAATCTGCCAAAAAGTTGATATGCTGATTGTTATTTGTTCAACGACACAGTTTGGATTATCTGGTTCTAAGCAAAGCGTGGGTCAAGTCCACATCATGTGGTCTTTCTGCAATTGGGTGATGGTTGCAGCGGGGAAGCTTCTTATAACAGAAGAAAAAAGGTATAATCAAGGACTCTGCAGTTAGTTTCTATAGTTTGGCAGTGAAGCTAGTTTCAGTGAAAGAGATGTCGTGACTGCTTATGTTCAGTTGCATGAACTGGCATTTGAATTTTTCGATGACAGGCATTGTATATTCTCATTACTATTGATATACATTTGCACAAATATATTCATGGTTTGGTTTTGTTGTCATAAAAACTTTCCGACTTCTACGATTTGAGCAACCTTAGCCTGCAATTCGTGGACTCATTTTTATTTGATGGCCAGCCACCTGCAAACTACATTCTATTAAAACACGTTAACCTTATTGTTGCGGAAACCTTTTCTAGCATAAAAAGTGACGTTCTCCATTATACGTGACGTGCTTTGAACCCAAGTAGTTGGGTATCCAAATCGGGTGATCATCGAAGATAAATTATTATCTGGTTTTTAAAGAATGGTCTGAGGGAGGGTTCAACTATTATTTCAGTAGAGATGTGATTTTTAGATTTTACATTACCCTCTGTTGACTTGCTCCTATTTTCTGTACTGCTTATCTTTTTGGTACAACAAGAGATAAACGATGTAATAATACAAGGCTGGCGCATCTTCTTTTTTAATTTTATGTTTATTTTATGCAAGGATTTGGGGCAGCATGCTTGGATAAAAGCAAGCACCACATCAGTGCAGCAAGTTGCAAAGCCAGCACCAAATATCAACCAAGATCTTTAAACATAATCTGCATGAAAGCCTTGTTTCTCAACTACTGCCGTTACCCTAAATAAAAGAACGCAGATTTATGTATCACTCTGTATGAATGAAAATACAATTATCCCATCAACCTTATTTTAATATCTTCAGCATAAAATGCAGCTGTATATATGAGACGCCTGCCTTTGCTTCATAGGGAATTCAAGGGGTCTGTATAACATCTTCTAGCAAGTGTATCACATTCTTCTGGCAGCGAAAACATGGGGTATGAACAGATCGTACAGGGAGGCTTGACAACGAAGGCCAACCCTAGCAAAGCTACAATTCTGGCTCTTGGCAAGGCATTCCCTCCCCAGCTAGTCATGCAAGAGTTTCTGGTTGATGGATATTTCAAAAACACCAATTGTGATGATTTGGAGCTCAAGCAGAAGCTAACTCGACTCTGTAACACTACTAACTTTTCTTCCGTTTATTTTTTCACATCCAGTTAACTGCTAGTGAATGCATGCATATCCATATCTATTGAATCTATAAATGAGAGATCTTGTGGGGGATATGACACTCACAATATATTGGTTATTTTATGTGCATTCTTCTAACTGAAAAACTCACATTTTCACTTAATGGAAACTTGCAGGCAAATCAACGACTGTGAAAACTAGGTATGTGGTCATGTCAGATGAGATACTAAAGAAATACCCTGAACTTGCCATTGAAGGCCTCCCTACTGTCAAGCAGCGATTATCTATCTGTAACGATGCTGTCACACGGATGGCTATTGATGCTTCACGGGCTTGCATCAAGAAATGGGGCAGACCTGTATCTGATATAACTCACTTGGTCTATGTCTCATCGAGTGAAGCTAGGCTACCAGGTGGCGACCTTTACCTAGCAGGAGGTCTTGGGCTCAGCCCTGAAACACAGCGGGTTATGCTATACTTTGCAGGTTGCTCTGGAGGTGTCGCTGGCATTCGAGTTGCCAAGGATATTGCTGAGAACAATCCTGGAAGTAGAGTTTTACTGGCTACTTCCGAAACTACTATTATCGGTTTCAAACCACCAAGTGCAGACAGACCGTATGATCTAGTCGGGGTCGCACTCTTTGGGGATGGTGCTGGAGCTATGATAGTAGGCACAGATCCAATTCCGGTCACTGAAAGCCCTCTCTTTGAGCTTCATACAGCAATCCAAAATTTCTTGCCAAACACTGAAAAGACTATTGATGGGAGGCTAACAGAGGAGGGTATCAGCTTCAAGCTATCAAGGGAGCTTCCTCAAATAATTGAAGATAACATTGAGGGATTCTGTCACAAGTTGATAGGAATCGCCGGACTGACTGACAAGGATTACAACAAGATGTTTTGGGCAGTCCATCCAGGCGGGCCTGCAATCTTGAATCGGATGGAGAAGAGATTTGATTTGCTGCCTGACAAACTAAATGCTAGTAGAAGAGCTCTAATGGACTACGGCAATGCTAGCAGCAACACCATTGTGTATGTGCTGGAGTACATGATAGAAGAATGCAGGAAGATGAAAGAAGGCTCTGAAAATTGTGATTGGGGCCTGATACTGGCTTTCGGACCTGGAATTACCTTTGAGGGTATTCTTGCAAGAAACCTAGCTATGTAATATATGATATGATGGCGCCATGAGTATTATAATAACTTGGTTCTCCTACAGCTAGTGGCAGAATAGCTCTGATTGCATTTTCTTGGCCAAAAAGCTCCTTTACGTAACATGACAGCCGCATCAATTCGTAACTATTTATCAAAATCACCCCTAAGCCTGCTCAAATGTAACATGACAGCCGCATCAATTCGTTTTTAACTACTTATCAAAATCACCCCTAAGCCTGCTCAAGACATGCTCTTATATCAGTTTTGATGGGTATCAAAAGTCAGCACCTCATAAAGGTAACTAGATTTGCATCAGCTCTCACAGCATGAACAGAAGCGAATATTAGCGTCGAAAAAATAATTAAACATCCATTAAATTATATTTTAAGTACGAATATCCAACCAAAGTTTCTGCATCCCCAGCTTTACAAGTGAACCCACTTTTCTCCAGTCATGATTTGATAGAGAAATTTCACCGTGTGGAGAACAAAACAGATATGTTGCCCAAGTCAATTTTAGGTGGCAACGTTGCTCTTCGACCACACCATAAAAGAACTTTAGTTACACCACTCCAGAGGGGAGGCGGAGAACAAGCTGCCCTCCAAATACACTGCAAGAAAATTACAATCAGATATACTGCAAAAAAAATTGTACCTTGATGTTTCAAATGCTCTTCTGGTAAAAGAATGAAATTCAAACATTAGCGAACCTTTTGACATAATAATAACAGAAATCTGCTAGGATGAAAGTCTGGACGATTTCTGAGATGAGAACCATAGAAGGCCATAATCCATACCCCAAGGCCACCAACAAGTGTCCACGAGTATCTAAAACCTGTTTAAAAGAAACAAGACTTTAATGGTAATTGCAACTCTAATCAGTTTATATTTTGATGGAAAAAATTGTTTCAGCCAAAGATTAGGAGGAAACAATATGAAGTACTTATTTTTAGACAAAAAAAAAAAAAAAGTGCATTTGACGCATAAATTTTGTAAAATGACTCCTACAAAAACTGTGCTAGCATCAGGTTGGCATGATTGACTAGAAATAGTAAATGGGATGAAGAATGAGAATCTCTGCCCATTCCAGTATCATTGATAACCACTATTCAATCCTATTCGGTAAATTGATTATTTTATCACAATAAACAATATGTGGTTTTGTAAGGTCTGTCTAAGACAGCAATGTTCCGCATTTTGATTGCATACTCGAAATAAAGCTCTTGTGACACCGAAATCACTTCATGATGTGGCCAGCTATCTGAAAGCATCAATAGCATTTAAAAGCAGCAATAAAAGCAGAGAGATACCAAACACAAACCCACTGGCAGAGCACTAAACGTATCAGAAATTTTCAAGAACACCTAATCTGATAAATTTAGGCTCCCTGGTTCGAAACATTTTTGTATGTTCCCTTTGGAACACATTCTAAAACCAGCTATATGAAGATTCAGATCTGCAAGAACAAACCTGGAGAACCCAATGGGCACAGCTCAAGAACCTTGCAACACCCAATGCAAATACATAATGAGCAGTGAATGGCTCAACAATCTGAAAGTAGAGGGAAAAAAGGATGAGTTTCAACTTTCATTTTGAAAACCTACTAAACTAATACTTTTTACATAATGAAATCAAAGCACCAAACCTTGGTGTTTTGCATGACCCGCAACTGAGGAAGCACAGAAACAGCTTCCAGGTATACACAGAATGCCCAGAGGATCCGGTTCAGTAGGTTATGAGCTGTTGACGGATGAATAAGCAAAGCCAAGACAGCACAGGGTGCCGCCTGCATCCAATTCAAAAGAAGGGTATGATTTAAAGGTATTGCATGAGTTAAAGGTCTAATCATTAACAAATAAATATTCATAATCATTCCAGAGAAATAAAGAGAGCTTGCTAAGCATGAAAGAAAGAATTTGAACTTGAATGTGAGAAAATCTAAGCAGCAACCTTAGTTGCATCCACAAGTTTGTGGCAGTATCATAAGGAGTATGCCATTGTCATGGAGTAAGCGATTAGAAAAGAACAAGAACAAAGAAGTATAAAGGAGATATTACAACTAAATAGTGAATATTGAAGGGGAAAAAAAAAATTAAAGAAGAGAAAAACATTATACTAATTCAACTTTCTAAATTTAAGTATATAGTTGAAGGGATGTACACAAAAGAGTTCAAGGATGCCCAAAAAATCCTCAATCAAAATGTACAGTAAAAAAAGAATAAAGAATTGACTGCTACAAACATATTCTCGATAACATTAACACCTAAGCTTGGCTTGTGAACAAAGCGGTATTCATTCCCAGGTGAAAGAAGCACAAACTTGCCAGAAATGCCTTTATTTTACATTTAAACTTACATTAATACAAACAAATGTAACTGTAACAGGAAAAATTAAATAGTCTTTCCTATTGAGTAGCCAGAAATATACCTGTATTAACAAAACAGTGTGGAGTTAATCAAATACTCACCACATAATATAATGCAAAGTTGTCTTTGTCCTCCATGTAACTCGACTTCAGATTAAAACGGATCATATAAATAACCCACAGGGTTGTTGCCAACGTAGCTAAATCCAGTATGGTATGTATATCATATTCCATTACGAAGCTGCAGTACAACCTTACAGCTAAGAACATGGCTGTCAGCTCCTGAGTTTTCAGAGACAATCCTGAAAAACATTAAAATAATGTTAAAAGACAAAACTTTGCATCCAAAAACTAAAGATATAACCACAAAATCATTGAACCACAACACGTTCCAAAATTTCGCAGAAAAATCCAAGCTTTCTTTCTAATTACATTAGTTCCCATCAAACAAACAAATTTATCAGTTAAACAACAACAAAAAAAATCCAAAACTTTATTTCAAAAGCTAATGATAAAACCACAAAATCATTGAAACACAACAAAAGAAAACCCAACATTTTGCGCAATAATCCCAAATCTCTCTGATTCCATCAATTCCAAACAAAATTTTATCAAAACAACAAAAATGATCAACCAATTCAATCAATTCCGAATAAACAAAAAATAAATAACAACTCGTTGATCAACAAAAAAAATTACTGAAATTTACCACAAGAATCCTACATTTCCCTCTAATTCAACCAATTCCCAATAAAAAATCAATTCATTAATCAGAAAAAAGTAAAAAATAAATAAACACTAAATCAGTGACGCACAATAGAAAAAAATCCAAAATTCAACAAAAAAATCAAAACCCTATAGATTTGGGATTCCGTTTAATTACCAGCACAAGTTTTCTCTTTCATTAACTTATAAATAAGCACAGAGATTCCAATGGAGTGAACAGCCTCAGCAGCCACAAAGAGGTTATCGTGATCGTGTACGATGAATCTGAGGAGCACCAGCGCTGACATTCCAGCCACCACCGCCAAAAACGCCTTGACCTTCGGAGGCTGCCGTCGCACCCACGTCGTAACCACATGGATCGGTCTCCTGGGTGGCCTCATCGTGGAATTCGATATGATTTTCCTGAGAAAGTGATGGAAATTGAGGGGTAATTAGGACGATAGATTGAAAAAGGGAGGGGATTTTTTTATTGGGCTTTCGCGGAATTAGTTTCTTTCCTGTTATCGTTTGCTTAATTGTAACTTTTGTCTGAAAAGAAAGTAAAAGTCAGCACAGTCACTTTAGTTTCAAATAAGTGATTAATTCAACCCATACATTTTAGTTTTATTCAAATTATATCCTTTGATTCTATTTTAAGCTAACATGTACTGACCTTCTTATTTAATCGATTCATGCAAAAATAAATTTTAAGCTAAAATCTCGATTACTCACTACCCTAAATATTCAAGATTTCCTGAATCAATCTTATTAGAAGTCTTGTGATTCTAACCATTTAAATTATTATTTTCACGTACAAAACCTGCAACATTTTAACAATATTTTTATTTCCAATTACCATGAATTTGAAGTTACAAACACATACCAAAGTTTTAAGATGTTTAAATTTTATGATCTTGAGTTTTAAATAATATTTGACAATGAAATGATTGTAGGGTGTGGTTTAGATGATTTTGGAGCCAGATAATGGCACAAGGCAGGATCAAAACTCTGGAAAAATCAAAATAGGAACTTGAACTGCGGGCAGGAAGCTACAGAGACGAGGTTCACATCTGAAAAAGACCGAGGGGTGTGTGTGGATAAGCTAGACAAGTTACATCAGAAGGTCCACGAACTTGATCTCCTAATGGTAGGCTTCATTTGTTTGTCTTCCTCGAGTGCCACCGTACCCAAATGAGAAGGGTCTTCCAGCATCATTTTTGCAACCAAGTAACCAGCAATGGACCAGGTTTGGAATTTACGAGCCTGTTTCCCAATGAAACGACCAAGTTTCCCATCGTAATATTCCGGCCAGTTGTCTTTTATTAATCGTGCTTCGGCGAGCTCGATAGCACGTCTTGCGATTTGGGGGCGGCCAGTCTTGATGCATGCCGCGGTGAGAAGCCACAAGAGCACTGCATCCATTGCAACAGCCAAAATGTCTCAAAGATGATCTCAGCAGGGAAATACAGAAAGGTTACACCAGAGAGCTCAACATGGTTGACAGAGTAAAATAATGAAGATTTTAAGCAGGTATACAAGTGGCGTGAACAGTATTTAACAGCGTAGGTACAAAATATAACTGTTGTTTCAATCGAAGGCCAAAATACATGAAAGAACTTGCATAAAAATAGTTTAAGCTCTCTGATCAATGACTTGATGCATGAGTGGGATCAGATTCTCCAACAAAAAATGGGGTGCTTACAAGGCCTTTTTTTATCTGATAAGAACAAGAAACTCTGGATCGATGTGTCGGGGATTAACATTCAGCGTTTCAAGGGGATAAAAACATGTAAATACTTATTCAATAAAAATTCAAGCAAAGGCGTGGCATAGCAACAAAGTTAATCATTTTGGGCCTCATTTTATCAAATGCATTATGCAGGCCAGATCTGCAATCAACCAAAAAACCACGGCAGATGTAGTTGCTTTATGAATTTGTTAACCTAAGGAAAATGTAGTGCAGTAGCATACCTGGCCAGGATCCTCCATTGTGGTAACTCCATCTAGTGTTTTTTGGATCACATCCTGTAACAATCCGCCATTCATGGCTCTCTATTGCTGGATAGATTACCTTGAGTGGCATTTCCCCAACCAATTCCTCCCACCGTGATTCTATAAGATCCATTATTGCGGTGGATTGTTCAGGGGTTGCCAAGGATGACAGAATTGCAATACAATTACCCAAGCAAAACCAACGGAAGTCCATTCTTGCAGGACTAACATTCCCGATAAAGTAACCACCACGGACTGGCATAAAATCAAAAATCCATTCTGGAAGAGAATCAGGTATCACATTAAACTTGTTAACAGCAGTATGAGAATATTCCTCTGTTTTATAGCGATAAATATCATTAAGCTGTTTCAAGTCAATCCAATAATAACTCCTCATGTGAAAACTTAAAGCGTGAAGGCGTTTTGTAATCCGTTCTACAAACTCATTCCCCTCCTCATCTTGCTTCAGTAAAAGTAAAGCACATCTTAAAGCCATGAAGAAAAGTGCTTGAATTTCAATGGGATACCCATAAACACCCTGAAAGATGCATAGCCAAAGACAATACATTATTTGAACTTGAAAAATAAGCAAAGGATGAACATAGCAACAAGCACCACATTAAGTACAGTCCAGGCGGACAATAGATTAAGAGATGCCTCATTTGTAATTAACCAAGGAAACTCACCATTCTGCGATCAACCATGCAGCATCCATCGGCGCAAAGAAGAGTCGGGAATGTGTCAAACCCCTCTGAAAGACATAAACTCAAAATTAGGCGCATACCCTTCTGACATTCTGGCTTTTCAGCCAATGATATGTCGCCTGTGGACTTGGTATATGCTCGGAGTAAGAAAATCCACCAAAACCCAGAATCAACAGGAGCCACTCTTCCTATTGCACTCTCACCAAAATCTGCCATCAAAGTCTCATTGTTCGTGACAGGATCGTGGAGTACTTTAAAACTTGCAGGCATTACCCCTTCTCCAAGCTGGAATCTGTCAATCTTTTTCTCCCATGATTGAAGGCGTAGAGTCTTCAAGATGAAATTCTTGACTATTTCAGGTTCCCCGTTCATCAGAAAAGCCAATGCACTTGGGACAAAATCTCTTACAAACACCTATGAAAATAAAGAAACCAAATTAATGTACAAACTCTAAACCCTAAAAGATTCCAAGACGCCGATTACAAATGCAAGACTGTCATTCTTATGCGATAATATCAGATACATACATGCAAAAAACATGGAGTGGTAGAAAGGTTAACTTGGAACACGAATCATAATCGCATTATAGACACAAAGATTATCAAAAGGCAGAACGAAAAGGAAATAAATATCCCCTGAATGTAGCTTCAAACAAATCAAGTGAAAGGTCAAGCAAAAATTGCAGCCATCCAACTAGCAACAAAATGATTCTATCTGCAGATAGCTAATACCCTAATAAACAAAATTTCTTATCATATAAAACAAGGTAGTAAAAATCACGGGGTCTTCACCTGATCATAATTCACCTGTTCCTCGGAATTATCCAGTGCTGCTATGGTTCCAACAGGTTCACCACGAAAATAAACCAATGATCTCCTCAAAGCCTCCCAAGCATCAGCCACAGTTGGATGTGTCTCAACCCCAAATTGTGATAATGGAGTATTAAACCCTGACCTTCTACCGGGAGAAGGAAAACAATTAAGGTGGTCAATTAACCTAAAATTATTCTCAACTCTTGACGAGGGACGAGGAGAAGGAATTGGCAACCCAGTAGACAATTCGCTTAGGGACCTTTCATCGCATGATCTTTGCCTATCCATATTCAAAGGCCTTGGTGGCCTATCAAAAATCCTTGAGAAATCAATTTCTTCAATTTCAGCCATGTCACAAAGGGTATCAGCATTTCTCAAGCTTCCATTTAGAGACACATCCACATTAATACTAGACATTTGTCGGATGTTTTGCCAATGACAAAACACACAACTTTGAGTGCAACACCTTGTACAAACAACCTGCAATTGAATTCACCAGAAACAACCAAACTCAATGCATGTAAGAGAAAAACTTGTAATAACCGAGACGGATTTTTCACTCCCTCTTTGAAAAACGAAGAACAAAGATTCAAGACTCAACCTTTCTGATCAGTTTTGACAAGTTTTCTCATCAACCAAACAGAAAGTCTTAACTTTCACACACGAAGCCCTCAAAGTTTCAAACTTTTTATTCGAAAAAAACAAACAGCTACAACAAACCAAGTTATTTGCCGAACAAAAATAAGACCAACTCCAAAGACAGCTTCGATGACCCAAAAAAAGGGAAACAAGCAGAGAGCAAGAGAGAGAAAAGAAGACGCACGGGCTTGCTTTGGAGAGGGTGACGAATGAACAGAACCGAAAACCATTGAATCAAGTGGGCCCAAAATGCAAAATGTGGTACTTTATTGGTAGAGCATAACAGACAGGTGAGGCTGCTTGCATGTACAGACGGTTCGTGGGTCCACGTGGGATTCAAAACTCGATACTTTTGTACATGGAGAAGACAAACCTCAAATTTAGTTCCTAAACTATTGCTCAATTATCAATTGAGTCCTCACACTGAAACTCACCTTGTATTAGAAATTCTTAAATTAGTCTCCATTCAAATCTGTTAAGCAAGTTTCGGCCTAAAGTGCATACCTTGCCCTAGTGCTATAAAATCCGCTCTGCCTAGATGGTTAGTCTATTGAACTAACACCCTGGCTGCTTGATCAGGCTGATGGATGGATCAAGTTTTAATATACTGTTTAATTTAAATATCAAAAGGATGTTGTCTCGACGATTATTTAACATGATAGAAGAGGATTTAATTCAGAAATTCTGTCATTAGAAACTTTATTGGGAACATGTTTAACTTAAGATCTGACAGCAGAACCGATAGATATTCTGGGGGCTAGTTTAGGGCATCCTTATAATAAGTTTGTGAAGGTGCATGAGCTTTGGAACTTGAGCCATGAAAGTAAAAAAAATGAAATGGACACCAGTCCGTGACGTAATAATGCAAAGGGATCTCCTCTTTCTTTGCAGAGTGGAAAGATGTCCTTTTTTGGCAGGGCGACAGTCTTCGTCATATCCAATAAGAGCTGGCATTGGTAGTTGGTTTTTTTTTGCACCCATTATGCGTTGGGATCGCCATGGAATTTATTGTGCCCATGTTAGCATGAACAATAGGAGCAGTGAAATCCTGTCTGTTACTCTGTTACCTACACCAGGGAAATGATTATATATATATATATATATATATATATATATCGTAGTCATTGAAATTTGAAAAAAACCTAGATATTTGACGACACGAAACCACCATTGAAAAGAAAAGGAAAGGGAAGGAAATACAATAAGTACCAGAAAATTTTACATGAAAGTAAAAATAAGATTATTGCATGTTACATCATAACCTTAATCATTCACAAAATTACACAGATGAGTATAGAGAAGCACGGATATCATGAAAGAGATGTTATATTTATAGATGTTAATTTGAAATCATAGTAAGAAAAAAAAAACAGAGACTAGTCTGCTTACTAAATAAATATAAAAAATTGTATAAATAATTTAATTTTTCTAACATGCATATTAATATATAGGACTAAACAAAAATTAAAAATATTACTTATTTATAGAAATACTTTAAAATTAATAAAATTTTATTTTTTGTTCTTAAAGTTTTATTGCTTATTACTTAGTGTAAAAAGATTTTCTTAAATAAACCTATTAAGATTTCAACAGTAATACCTTATTTAGATGCACTATTAAATAAGATTTAATAAAATAAAAAAAGTTATACTCAAAAAGAAAATTAAAAATTAAAAAATTAAAAAAAGTAATTGAATAAACTTCTGAATGTCTTTTCACTTATCCAAGATACTAGTTTATCGGACTTGAGATCCAAAATATTAATTGCGAGCTATGAATCTTTATAATTCATGAATATTTAATGTCCATGATTTATGAATGTTCATATTAATAAATGTTTATAGTTCATAAATTATTCATAATTACATTTATTCCCGCACACATAATTAATATATTGATTCGTATACCAAGATATGTGGAGACTATAAGAAATTATATATAAAAAAAAACACGTACTTAACAGTAAATATATTTTATTAATCAAATCTAAGCTTTGAGTCCATCTACATAGCTATTTTGAGTTTATAGCTATTTTGAGTTTGAGATTTTTGTTATCCAAAGGTTATTTAAGAATATTTTTTCACTAATATTGAATTTGTTTTTCAAAACATGTTTATTATCTCATATTAAAGCAATTATATTCGAATATAAATTAAATTCAACATGATTTTAATCTCAAGTGTGTGTTCAATATCACTGTAATTAGACCAAATTAAAAACACTGATTACATGTTTTATAAGCCATTCTAACAATTACATCATGATAGTGACTATTCACAAGATTCATTTTTAAAATTACACAAGTCAGTCATCATGGAAACTACAAGAAAAATGCAAGGACATTATAATAGAATAACAGTGATCATTTAATTACAAAACATTGTGGGGAGAGATTCACGGTATTCAAGTTATAATTACGGGGTAATTATAAAATAAAAGAGAGATAGATAAAAAGAAAATTACATACTGAAAAAAAATATACATTTTTTTCTCTCTCTACCAATTCCCCCTTTGTTTTACGTTCACCTCTCTTCTATGCTATAAATATTCAATAACTACAGCTTGAATATCATGAAACTTGTAAAAATACATGATACTCTCAATGTGCAGCGATATGGAATGGGAAATATGTTACACGCTATACATCATAAGAGGAAATATTTACAACATCTATCGTGGAAAACATATGACAAGCCTTCTTGCAGGGATTGGAAAACATATAAGAAGCCTTTGGTTTGGAAAAGTAATGTCACTGTGAATGTATAAAACACCCCATCAAAGCAGTGACCATTGCAAATTCGGATGGAAATAGTCTTCTTGCAGGGTTTTTGCTGTGCGTGTGTGATTAGGGAGCATTAATTCTTTAACCAGAGACATATCATCCACTAGTGGAAAGACTATAATTCTTGGCAGAGGAGGTTGATTAGCATGAAATTCTCACTCAAGCAAACTAAGCTAGAGAGTAAAATATAGATTTTATGTGCGTTAGAAATCAAAATATTCCTGAGAACTTGGAAGGTCGGCGAAATTAGGATCTCCCGGACTCGCGGCCTCCATAGGCCTCCCTTAACTTCCAGACCAACCTCTGCCTTTCTGCGATTTGAATAACGACGATGCGCAAGAGGGAAGCTTGCTTGGCCCATCAACTTTCGACGAACCTTTTCACATGATGAGATTTATCGATAATGGATAGTTGCTTAGCCCATCAACTTATAATGATTTATCAAGCCCCAAAAAAATAAAGAATCTATCCCTCAAAGAAATTATTTTAGTTCCTTTTTATTTTTATGTTTATGATGTATTAAGTTTGTTATTTCTCTTTCTCTTTCTCCATATCAAGCCCTGACGAAGTATTTATTTAATGGAAATTTAAAATTTAGAAGAGAAAAAAAAATAGGAGTACACCCTCAGACACCAGTTATGGACCCAGTAATTTAAATGCAGAAAAAAGAAAATCACTTTTCAGTTCTTTTGTACAGATTACAGAGCCTCTTTTGCGTGAGATGAATGGCTACCTTCAATATAAATTGGAAGTCAGGCCTCTATTGTTGGATGTTCACTGCACAATGAAATCTACCAATAATCTACTAGCCTGCTTTTTGCTTGAAAAGCTATACATAAAAACAGAGGATATATCTGAAGGAGCTTGGCCTTAATTTCTTGAAGAAGGTTTACAATGCTATCTTGTCATTTGCAAACCAATTAACTCTATTAACTAGAGACCTTAACTTTGATGATGATGATGATGATGATGATGATGATGATGAGCTGAATTATGATAGAATAGGATTCAGCAATTCTTTCAGACACGCATCATATGCAAAAGCAGTTGAAACGTTGTTGTGCTCTCATGAGTTTAAACTAGCCATCCGTAAGGATATATGCTCCATTCCAGAAGGGCAGGCGAGCCAATGTATTCGTCAGTTAACAGTAGATCTATCAGAATCTATTGAATGGATGAAGAGTACTTGCTCATTGGGAGACGGGGAAGTGTTTGGTGAATCAAGTGTGAATTGCAGCATGCATGGTTTTGATTTGCAAGTGGAACTTTTTGGAAGAGGATTGTACTGATGCTAGATTCACTGAATATCACAGTCGGGAACAGCAGCATTGTTGGACGGACTATAAAGGACTTGATGGCTGTAATCCGTCCTTACATTAGCATTATGGTTGGACTGGAGCCAGAGAGTGTCAATGAGTTCATCTCTTCTGTGACAGGAAGAACATCTGATGTCAGGCTTGCTGGAAACACAGCTGATATGCTGAAATTTGGTGCGTCCACCCACTGGGTCCTTGTGTTCTTTTCTCGTATGTACATGTCCTGCCGAAGCTTATACAGGCAAGCAGTCGCCCTTGTATCTCCAGATGTATCAAGAAAGAAGTCAACGGTAATGAGAGATCCATTTACAGCATATTCTGCGTGGGGTTGGATGGGAAAAACTGGTTGGACAGATGGGGGCTATTTTTTTTTGGATTGTCCAACCTTCAGCCTCTCTGCCTGCCATTAAATAATCTTTTTCTTCTATTTATCTTCAGGGAAGCATGGCAGATTGCTGTCCTCTAATTTATGTATTGCATACTATGGTTCTTCAGAAGCTTGTTGATTTGAACAGGCAGATAAAGTCTTCAGAGTACATGCGGTAAAGCAATGATAATATTGTAGCAATTTTATGTCAACATTTTTTCACCCACCATCACTCATGAAAAGTACACTAAAGTCAACTAAATATTTTATAGTAATTAGCAGTTGTTTGGTAATTATTAATTGCTACTAAAACTTTTATTTTTTTTATAAATAGAGATGAAGAGAGAGCAATGCAAGTGTACTTGAAAGAGTGAGAAATAGCATATTTAAGAAAAACATTGAATATAAAAGTGAAATACTAGGTTTTTTTGGATTGTATGGGGCTGAGTTAAGTTTTTATATTATTTCTTTAATAATATATAATTTGCTATTTTTATAGACATACTGATTTTGAAAAACCACATAAATCTACTTGTTTATATTTTATTTATATTTGTTTTCGGTCCATGCACAACAAATATTGTCCGATTCAAGTTGCTTGATGATGCTGGCTCATCACTGTACCGCAAAAGGAGCAGAAAGTGGAACAAACACATTACCACTGTGAAGCAGGAGGCAGCAGATCTTACTGGGTTCGTGATGAGTTACCTCTCATTATTGATTAATAAACAACTTGCAGTCTACTCTTCCAA